TTTGCCTGTGAGTGATATATATATAGTCTAATTTGTGAAAGCAGCTTATCAGCAATTACAGGGTATCTTGTTAATGGCCATTGCTATTTATGCTCTACTTCATATCCTTTTAACTGTGGCCTGTTTGCTCGCTTGGATTGCTTTTAAAGATTATTGTGCTGCAGTCACAGATGCAGTAGCTCAACAAGACTGTTGTTTGTCTGTGTGTGTGTGTGGGTGTGTGTAGAAGATTTCTAGCCAGCAGTGTAGGGGCTTGGCATGTTTGCAATTCCATTTCATTGTCAGTGTCATACGACGACGTTTGCTTGTTTTTCTGGCTTGTCATTGGCTTTGAATGCTGCCAGTTAATCTGCAGTGGAAAGGCGCAGCTGGCTGAGCAGCCGCAATATTAAAAGTCATTTTGTATCTGGGCTGCCACTTGGCCAAATTAAGCAGAGCCTGTTGCTGCCACGCCCACAGCACCTTGAGTGGCATTTTGTAATTCAGTTTTAGTTGCAACTTTCCTTTGTCTTTGGGTCTTTGTTGTCGCCCACTTTATGGCAAGCCAGCCGTTTCATCTGTATTGCCCCCGCTCCATGCTTCACTCAGTTGGCAATACAATTTTTCAATTTCCACAAATGACAATCGTCAATTGACGTTGATAGTTTTTCCGGCAGGCAGCCAACCAGGCAGGCTTAATAAAATCGTTTGACATCAAATGGCTGCAAAGCGAGGACGCCCACAGCTGCTGCTGCTGCTGCTGGTGGTGGTGGTGGTGCTGGCACCAACATCAATTGTCGATTAATGAGGCGTTGCACAGTGTCGCATAAATTAAACAACTACACTTCTTTCACAGCGCCCAAAAAAGCAACTAAAATATTTAATAACAGCGAGCAGCTAGCGGCCTAAAGGGGCCAAAAGCGAGTTTCATGTTTGTTTACTGTCTGCACAAACAAAACACGTAAGCACACACGCACACACACGCACACACACACGAGCATTCATGTGTAAGGCCTGTAACCTTTTGAGTTTTTAGCTTGTTTTAAAGTAAATACTTTGTAAATGTGGAAGAATACTTGTTAACTTTTTAATAAAGCTTGAAAGGCAGCGAAGGCAGTGACAAAAGTTTAGCATAAAAATTTAATTTTAAGATATGACTAAGGAAGAAAATAGATAGAGTATAAAATGCATATTTATGTACTTATAAAGTATAGTAAAAATATTAAATTTTATGAAATACTTAGAGAAGAAAATAGAAAATTTATTTTATTATCTACAAATATATTTCTTAAAATTGAGTAAAAATATTCCATTTTAAGCAATAATGTGAAATCGAAAAAAGAATATATAAAATATATATATAATATTCAAATGCATAAAATTATTAAAAACAGAATTTAATAACCAAGCATAAGGCTCTGGCAGTAATGCGCAGTAATTTTGGCCCTGAGGCCTGCTTTCGCACACTTATTTAAGCCCCTCTTTTGGCAAGTCACTCTTAATTATTTTTTTTGTTGCAATTTTAAAAGGTTCTTAAAGGCCTAAGTAGTACTTTCAGATAGCTTAACTATATATATATAAATAAGAATTTATACATTTATATATATATATATATATATATATATATATATATATATATATATATATATATATATATATATATATATATTCCATTTATATATTCCATGCACTCAACAATTCTTCGTTCTGCCTTTTTCCATTGAATGGCTTCATTATTTCCGCATAATTTGTTAAAAATAATTGAAATATTAATATAAACTTTCAATTGATACCAAATAGTATTTACTATATGCTTGGCATGCATTAAATTAAATATCAAAATAGCAAATTTTTCAACTGAAATCTGAACAACAATTTTAATTGCGTGCTTTTTTAAAAAATAAGTGAATTAAATGTAATATTGATTTCACTAATTAAATTTCATTTAATTGTCAATTAACAAAAATAAAATAAAGTTCAATAATGCATGAGTTGTTAATGAATCAGTTCAAATATACTCGCTCACCTCATCTCATTTCTTTCTGTCTGCGCCACGCCCACTGTTAAGCAGACTGCATAGTGGCGGCAAAGGGAAACGCATGAAATTTCGCTCTCAAATATTTATGGCCATCGAAAGTAACAATTTTAATGGATTTCGCCAACTTTTGAGACACTTTTCAACTATACATATATATGTCTATATAGATACATATATATAGCATATATATCTTTATATATACAAATCCCTTCGCTTAGCTTCCCCTTTTCGACAGCCCATTGAAATGCAATTTAATTTAATGTGTTTATGAAAATCGTAGCACTTGGCAACGGCAATTGAATTGCCATTGTCTGCCTTGGGGGGTGTGGCACATGTTGTCGACTCGTGAGTGCAAACCAAAAGAATTGTGGTAGGAAAAGAATGAGAAATATTGTATACCCTAACAAGAGGTTACTTGGCAAGTCAGTATATGATAAAGAAAGTGTTCACAGTTGTGAATGAGATAAAGCTTTGTCTTTCATATATGTATATCGATACTCTGTGATCCCAAAGATATCAACATAGTTAAGATACCCTCTTAAAGGGCATGCCTACTGCCTGGACTTTGATTTGTGGCCGGTCGAATCACGAGTTACCAAATTTGTTGTTTGCCAGCGACTCGAGGACCCTTTAATAGCATGTGAATATTTATGGTCAAAGGGAAACGCGCTGTCTGAGCTGATTTATGCTGGGTGGCTGTGTGGCTGTGTGGCTATGTGGCTGTGCCAAGGAAATGACAACTGAATGGCTTCATTAGCGCCAACAACTTTGCCAAGTTAATGCAAAAGTTTATTGCACTTCGACTTTTGACTTTAACAATTTCGGGCAAGGCACTGCTGTTAAAACTTGACAAAATGTAAAAAAAAGGCAAGAGAAATAAAAATAATTTTCATGCTTATGAAAATTTGTGGCATAAACCCCAAAAGAGCACGCGACATTCATAAACGATGTGGCAGGGCGCTTTGTGGCCGTTGCAACCAGTTGCGCCACTTGACCATTTGGGCAGCCAAATTAACAAATTGTCACGTAGCCAAGCAATATATAGACATTTCTCTATATATATTTCACTCACTCTCTCTCTCCCTACATATATAGAGAAATTTCTATATATATTTATTGTCTGAAATTGATGGCGTGTCTTTGGCAATGCTCTTTGGCTAGAGCTTAACCTCAATTGCTATTGTTGTTTGTGTAGCCCAAGAATATGCAATTGTTTTATGCCCACGTTGCCCGCCTCGCACTCAATCAACTCAATTGCTGCTTAAGCGTGTCTGCCATACAAAATGCCCTTTTGTTTAATGAGTCAAATTTGTGCGCCGTATCGCTTACTCTGCAACAGCCACGCCCCCAAAACCAAACAAGCCAAACTGGCCAAAAATTTAATGCAAACATTGATTAATCGAGTTTAATGCCAGCTCGCGTTGATTTCATTGTTGTAGGCGAATTTATGAGACAGGCAAACCTAGTAATGGGGGAGATACAGCACTCTCCAAAGGGGCTTAGCATTTGGAAGGCACAGGACTCTTGGCACCTTGTGCAAATATTAATTTGCTGATTGTTTTGTTTTCGCATCGTTTTTGACTGTTTTTGTTTGGTTAATTCGACACGACTGGCGCTTTGGCTTGCGCTTAAGAGCTCTTTGCAAATATTTGCACAGCATTCCATCTATGCATCTGCTTATGTTATGCTAAACCCTCGTCTTGAGCGCCTTATTAAAAGTGCATTAAACTTGTCCTCCAGCTGGAAGAGACATAAACACGTAGTGCTTCAATTCCCATTGCTGCAATTGATTAGGACGTACGTGTCCTGGCGTCCTTGTGTGTGTTTTAACTCTTATTACTAAATAATGCAGCATGTCTGCGTTGTAATGCGGGCATGTGAGTGTGCAGGTGTGTGAGTGCGAGTGTGTGTGTTCGGTCGTTCGGTCACCTGGGCAAACGGCAATTACCTGTGCGGTATTGAAGCTTCTCAAACTTTGATTAGTGTCTGCTATAGCTTTTACGTATTTGGCCATATTTTGTGCATCCTTCAACACCTTTTACAAATACCCTGTAAGATCAAGCTGGGGCAGTTTGATGTTGTGTAAGGTAGATAAAGGCGAGATCAACATAGGGAATGCAGTTTGATTTTGCCATTTGCAGCTGTTTTTGGTTAGAAATTTTGCTTGACGATTGCAGCTTCATTTTGACTTTATTAACAAATCGATAAATCGATCATTTTATTAGCTAAACAACAAAAATTGTATTTAGATAGAATCAATAAGTTTCTTTAAAGCATAAGCCCAAGAGAAAGCTGCGAAGCAACTGCCTAAGCTGTGCGGCTGCCGGCTTGAAACTTAAAAGACAGCTAAAGCTGTAAAGCCCACTTCCGACTGATCTACAGGGTATCTCTTATGCAGTTAACTGCGTGCATGCAGTCTTATTATTTTAGCATTCGTATTGACTTTGGCTGCTTGACGGCTTTATTAGAGCTGCGGCTCGCCATATTGATTATCGATTGGGGAATTGCCCTGACTCAGGTCTGTTCTGGCCATTGTATATATATATATATATATATATATATATATATATGTGTGTGAGCTTTCAATTTAGCCATCCTGTTAGCCATTTGGCTTAGCCAGCTAGACACACACGTCGCTAGCTGCTTGGCTGGCTGAATGGCTGGGCACGTTTGGATTTTATGGTTCATTTGTTGTTGCGCTTAGACGCCAACGTCCTGTTTTCGCTCACACACATACAAATCTATATATATATATATATATATATATATATATATATATATATATTTGTATCGTACGTAAACATATTGTGCTTATACCCTGGCACCTTGGCATTATTATAGTTTTCTCTTAGCTACACATAAATTCCCGCTCAATATTTGATTATATTTCTGCTCGCCGTTTGAACTCAACTTTAAATTCAACGAACAAACACACAGACACATATGCTAAACGAAATTTGGTTCTTTCTTTTTGTATTTGCAGATTGAGGACGAGGGCAATCATGGCAATGATGAGACACGCCTCTTCATACTCTCATCGCTGGCCCAGTCACAGATGAGCCGCGTCGCTTGCATCTTGTGCGAGGAGCCGTTGCTTGTATTCGATCGCTATCCGCTGGTCGATGGCTCCTTCTTTCTAAGTCCCAAGCAGCATTCCAGCGGCTGCATTGAGGTAAGTCAACCCATCTCCCCCGCGCGCTCACTCTCATTACTTGTGGACCCTAAATGCTCATCATTAATAACCATCAAATGTTGGCACTGGGGCTACACCCACGCTCGGGCCGCTTTCACTCGCCCACGTGGCAAGAAGAACTTTCAGCTGCAATTAGTTGTTGCAAATTTGACAGCAGGCAGAAAAGAGTTATATATATAATGTGTCTCTACAATGGGTGAAATGTGAAATGCGCAGCAGGCGGGGAAAGGCGGACTGCGGCGCACCTAAGTCGCCTTTATAACATTTGCAATTTATGACCCATTTCAGTCAGCATAATTACAGCAGCGCCTAATAAACTGCCAAGCGGGCGCAGTGTTGCAGTTGCTGCACAGACGCACACGAAGCGACCCACGTGCAACAGAGTCGCCGTCGAAGCAGCAGCAGCAGCAGCAAGAGCAACCTACACAGCCAGCCTTTGGCTTTTTGTCATGCCTGGGCTGACATGGCTTCCCGCTTCCCTTGTTTGCGCTTTAATTTAAACCTGGATTTATAATTCATTGCCAGCTGGCCTGGTCTGGTCTGGTCTGGTTGGGTCTTGTCTGGGCCTTGGCTCTGTGCACTGTGCCTCGACTGTTGGCTGCCACTGTCGGAGGGCCAGCGTCCCGTGGGCGTTTGCTATGCATTTTGCATTTTATTTGAAATTATTATGTCGCGTCGCCAGTTGAAGCCCTTCTTTTTATGTAGAAAGTTGCAAAGAAATAATTTTTCATTGTTGCGCCAATGAATTATGCGACTGAACTTGGTCTCTTGTTTTTTTTTTTTTTTGTTAACCAACCAAGCAGCTTATTCAATGTGTATATATGTTCTTCTCCCCGCTATTGCAGGTCAAATACGAGGGACGCATGCTCTACTTGACCTGCGTCTGCATGAGCTGCCTGGATGGCACCTCCAGCTGCCGTGTCATCAGCTGCAGGTAAGTCTCGCGAGAGGATGTCTCCTCCTGGAACCCACAATGTAATTCAATCAAATCTATCGTCTCGTATAGATTCTGCAATGAACCCTGGGATGGCTCCAGCCTGGTGCTTGGCACAATGTACGCCTACGATATCTTTGCGGCTATGCCCTGCTGTGCTGAGCGTTTCAAGGTGGGTGAAATTTAAATTTTCTATGCTGAACATTTAATGTTAAGGCTAAGTTCAGGCATTTTTTATTAATAAAAGAGTTTGAAAAGATTTAAAAGTTTAGCTAGAGATTATTTATTTTGCAGTAAAACGAAATTTGATTTCAAGAGCTTACAAAGCACATTTAAAGCTAGGAGATAGATTATTTGTATTGACAGGAATTCAGTCATGGTCTTATTGATATTTAAAGAATCTATTAAAGCACATGAAAGGCCTAAATATTTAGTGATCATCCCTAGCCCCATTAAAATCCAAATGTGGATCAAAACTTCATTTAAAAAGCTTATTCTTTCTTGATTTTTAAAGAGCTTTTAACGTGCAGCTTTAGCTTTGCAGACAGCGCTTTAATTGAATATAATCTATATGCATAACGTGCTTCAAGTTAAATGTTGATTGAAAGCTGCTGGTAAGCTTTTAATAGCTGTATATTAATATCAAGCTAAAAGCACATTGAAAGCTTTCATATGTCTTATGTGAATACACTTAAACTCACGTAATACTTAAAGCTCGTTGTCTATTGCTAATCCTGCTCAACTTGGAAGCATTTCTCCATTACCGATCCCACCTCAATTATTTTTACGTAATCCAAATAGGTTTTATTGCCCTAAACTCTTTCATAGGCTTCTCATTTGCTTAGCTGCTTTGCCATCCTCTGCAATTCGAGCTAATTCCAACAATATTTTTTGCCTTTTCGTTTACTTTTCTGTTTTTTTTCTTGCAGTGCAATAATTGCTTCAAGATGCTAATGCATCCACAGCAGCGGCTGAGCTTCTACAGCGACTACTCGCACGGCGTCACTTGCCCCTATTGCAACACGCAGGACACTCACTTTGTTAAGCGGCTTAGCTACTGCTACGCCAAGAGCAATGCGACGCGGCTGCAGGCGATCGCATAACATGAGGCCCCGTTGGAGACACCAACGGTTGCTGGCGCAAATCTAAATGCGAACGCAGTCACAGCCAGTGCCAATGGTGCTTCAACGGCCTCCAAGCAGCCGCTCTTTAATGCGGCCATCGACTACTCCGCCCCGCTGCAACAGCAGATTAATCCCGACTTAATTGGCGCCCATCCGCACGCCCAACAACATCAGCAGGTAAGGCAGCAACAGCAACAGCAGCAGCAGCCAGCACAGCAGCAACAACAACAGCAGCAGCAACAGCAATTAGCAACGGTTGCCCCCACAGCAGTGGCTGCCACACAGCGTGCACCAGAAGCTGCCTATTTGGTAACAGCAGCAGCAGCTGCTGCGCGTGCTGTCAGCTATCAGCAACAGCAACAACAACAACAACAACAACAACAACAACAACAGCAGCAACAACAACAGCAGCAGCAGCAGCAACAGCAGCAACACAAGTTAAGCTACTCAAATAGCCTCATGGCCATGGCGGATGTTATGAGCAAGTATCAACAACAACAACAACAACAGCAACAACAACAGCAGCAGCAACAGCCACTCAAGCAATTGGGCCACTTGAGCCTGGCCCACGAGTCCAACGGGCTTTTATTGAGCAACATTAACAACAGCAACGCCAACAACAGCAACAGCAGCAGCAGCGGCAGCAACAGTGGCGTTAGCAGCAGTATTAGTAACTTATTAATTAGCCATAATTCACAAAACAACAACAGCAACAATGGCGTCAAATTGAACGCCTGGTCACAGCCGGCACCCGCCGCCAACATGGCCCAGGCGGAGGCCATTTCTGCATTGTGGGGCTGCGCCAGCAATGCCTCAACCAGCGGCTGTTCGTCGGGCAGCGGCTCACAGCCATCGCTCAGTCCAACCAGCAGCCACAGCAAGGAGCTGCTCTGGACCCAAACCTCGCCCAGCTGCGCCCAGCTTAGGGATAATTTCTATACGGCTAAGGAGCTAATGCTGCCGCATGCTGCCTCGCCCACAGCCTCGTTGACCAGCTCGTCGGGCGCCTCCTCGAACGGCGGCGGCGGTGGTGGTGGCGGTGGCAGTGGCGGCGGTGGCTGGGGCAATGGCAATGCTGCACACTACGCCAAGTTGAGTGCTGCACAGAATATATGGGAGCTGCCAACAGCACAGGCCCAGGCCACACAGCTCGTACCGGACATGTTTAGCGATCTCTTGTGCAATCTGCACATTAGCCAGGATGGCAGCAACAGCAACATCAACATCAACAGCAAGAGCAAGAACGGCAACAGCAAGATCAACGATGCTTCAGATGTGAGCTCGAATTCGTCATCGGCAGCTGGCGAGCTGTTGGAGGTGGCCAACATTTGGCGGCACAGCAGCAACATGCAACATGCCATGCCCCAGCAGCAGCAGCAGCAGCAGCAGCAACTCTTTGAGGAGCCGGCAGGTGGCGCTGCCTGCATGCAGCTCTTCAATGACTATCTAAACATGAACAACTAAAGCAGCAAATGTTACTCTAGCCAAATTTAACAGAGAATAGTAACAGTAACATTAACATTAACAGTAACAGTAACGGTAAATATTAACAGTAACATTATATACTAATAGCAACGCCAACACCAAGAGCAAACAACCAACAGGCAGGTAAAAGCAAATTTCCAACAACTTTTATAGCAATATATCCAAATAAACAAACAACTTGCGCCTGCCAGCAAAAATGTTGCTGTAGTTTACTTTTAAACTAATCTAACATAAAATGGCAAAACGATTTTACTAAAAACAAGAAGAGAAAAGAAAAGATGCGAAAAACAAAATGTAACTAAAAACAAATTTCTTGTTACTTTTGTTGAGTTTGAACATTTTTAGCCCACACACACACACAAAAATGAAGAAAACTAAATCTAAATGAAAGCAATTCTTAGTTTTATATTATAAAAGAAAATTTTATACGACAAAAAAAATTTACCAAAAAAAAAACAGAAGAAGAAAGGGAAAGGATTCGCCTACTTTTTGGCATGAATTTTTTTTATTATTTAGCGAGGATGAAGAATGATGAGAAAATGTATTGAAAGCAAAGCATTTAAGGTTCGTTGAGATAAGATGAAAATTTGCTGTGCTGCTCAATAAAAAAAAATATACATAAAACAAAAACCCACAAACAAATATAAAAATAATATATTAAAAAAATTAAAACAAAACATTTTTGCTACAATTTATATATAATTATGAAAAACAAAAAACACATAAATTTATAAACTAAATTAAGCGATAAGTTGCACATCTTTACCTAAACGATTGGTAATTATTTTAGATTTTAGTCAGCAAATTGAAAAGGCAGTAAAACCAACCCCCGCCACCCCCACTAGCCCCGCCTCGTAACCCACCCCCAAAGCACTTACACAAAATTCAATAATTCAGCTAGCGAACCGGCACATGCAATCCACAAAATAGTTCAAACCCCAACAACAGCAAACCGAAGCCCCAAATGGTATTTGAGAGGAGAAAACCATCTGCCCGCCCATCCTAAGATATAAGTTTTGTTTTTATTTACATAAAATAACAAACAAACAAAAAATAATAACAAATTTTCGGCGCAGCGTGATTATTAATTGATAAGTTTTAAGCTAGGAATTCCCATTAAAAAATAAGATAAAAAAACAATTGCAAATTTCAACATTTCGGCTAGGTTATCATTTTTGTACTATGTATGAATATGCTTAGGTCTGCCCCCTCCCTTTCTCCCCCTCCCCCTCTCACCCTCATTCTATATATGTATCTTTATGCGTGTATCTATGTATCTATCTGTAGTATTTGATTAGCAGCAAGGCAAATGAGCAGAACAGCCGTTTGTGATGGATCTCTTGTGTGTTTTTGTGTGCTTTGCACGCACAGATCACAAATCGCTATCGATAGGGTTTTTGATAGGTTTAAGCAAGTATTTTTTTCTAAATTTAACATTTTACGATATTACTATATATATACACTTATATGGTATGCAAACATCCCAAACAATTTAAAGAGCGGTTCAATGTTTCCTGTTTTGTGTTTTAATTTTGTGCATCAATAAAGGAAAAGTCACCAAAAATTCCCCACTTCCCCACTGCTCCATGACCCAACCCAAAAACTCATGAATTGTGTTAAACATTTTTTAAGATTTTTAATCTGAACTTTTAATTAAATTAAAAGCAAAAACCAAATTTGATACTCTCGATTCCAACTGTGAAAATTAAAAAAAAAATGTTTAATTGTGGTAAAATTTCAAAAGATTTCAATCTTTTACTTTTAATCCAATTAGAAGAAAAAACCAAAATTTGATATTCAATTCCAACTGTGACTAATTTTGAAAAAAAAAATAACAACTCAAAAATGTGTAAAAATTTCAAAAGATTTCAATCTTTACTTTTAATTCAATTGAAAGGAAAAACCAAAATTTGATATTTAATTCCGACTGTGACAGCGAATGATTCGGCCCCACCCTAAACAGCAGAAACTGTGGTAAACGTTTAACTTTAATTAACATTGATCGATGTTTTGTGCTCGTTTATAACGTCGCGATCGTAACGATCAAACTTGTTTCGTTCCATTAAGTTTTCGTCAAACTATCTGTGAATTGCGTCGCATCCTTCGGATCCTTTTGCTAGTGATACCCAAAGTTGGTTCGCTTCGCACTTAACTTTTGCCTGTGACAAAAAATTTTATAAAAATTTAAAAACCAACCCCGACCCCCAGCCCTGTGTTAAACATTTTGTAAAAATGTCTAAAAAATTTTACCACAATTGCCTGGATAAGAAATTAAAAAAAAAAAACAACAGCCAAAACTGTGAACCAAATTCAAAATTTGCGATTTGTGAGTTGTTCGTTGCGAACAAAATTTTTTTTTGATAAAAAAAATTTAAAATCCCAACTTTGAACAACTGTGAACACCTTTAGAGCTTAAGCCAGTATTTCGAATTTTTAATCAAATTAGACTTCAGTTTCAATATTCATTTTCCCATTTTCCATTCAGATCAGCCTTGTGATACAATTTTGTATAATTTCATTTTGTCCTGTGAACAGCTACGCAACGTAGAAATATTCTTAAACATTTTTTAAAAATTTATAAAAACAACTTCAGTTTCAATTTTCATTTTCCACTCTCCTCAGTCGTGTGATACAACCGTGTGAACACCTACGCAACGTAGAAAATTTTTAAAAAATTAAAAAAAAATGTAATTTCAAACTTCAGTTAAAATTTTAATTTTTCCATTATCCCCAGCTCAGTCTTGTGATACAATTTTGCATAAATCGTTTGCTCTCTTTTTGATCCGTGTGAACATCTTCGCAACGTAGAAAAATTTTATAAAAATTGTAAAAAATTATTAAATAATAATTTCAAGTAAAATTTTCATTTTTCCTTTTTCCATTCTCCTCAGTCATCTGATACAATTTTGTACATTTCCTTCTTTCTCCCTGACCCGTGTGAACACCTACGAAACGTAGAAAATTTTTAAAAATAAAAATACTTTTAGCAGTGTGATAAAATTTCGATATTATAAACCCAAAAAACCTTTTCCCTCGTCCTCGCCCAATTCCTTGCATTTTGGTGACTTTTCTTTTGGCTTGGTTTCACTCCGAAATACCTTAATAGCTCCTTGGGTATGTGGGTCTATAGGCTATAGTCATTAGTGAACGGATTTTGTGCATGTGCCGCGTTTCCCAACACTGAAAATCTTGGCAGTTTTTTCTGAATTTGCCGCCATTTAAACATACCAAAAAAAACATAATAAGAAAAAACCAATTTTCATTCAAGCAGGACAAATAAAATGGGGACAAATAAACGAAGTGATAGTAAAAGAAAAGTTTCGTTTGCATACTTAACTATATAGAATTATGCTTAAGTTGATATATATGTATATATAAATACTATATATACTATATATGGTATACCCTAACCTAAACAAAAAGAAAACCCCCAACAACAACACTTTTGGCATTTACTTGAGAGAATTATATATATATATAGATATATATATGAGTCTGGCAAACAAGCGTATATAATTTTCGTCTAAATTTAAGATTTAACTATATCTATGAATTCAAAAGAAAAATTTTATAAATTAATATATATATTTATAGGCAAACACACACACACACAACTACACTTAATCTAATATGCTTACACAATTTTTTAGATATTTAATTGGCAAACACACACATACACACACTCACTAAGAGTTTCATAGAATTTCCGTAAGGATCAAGCTAAAGATAAAACACACACACAGACACACACACCTTATATGCAAGGTCAAAGGCAGCAGCAGCAAGCACCACCAACTATCGTATAAGTCAGCCCGTGTTTATAACTTTTTTTGCTTAGTTTTTTTTTTATTTAGTTTTGAATTTTATTTTTGTTTTAGTTCAATGTGCAAAGTAAACGTGTTAAAATTAACTCGAATTGACAATTTGTTGAGCAAACAAAACAAGTAAAAAAAAGCAAAACAGAAAAAACTTATGCCCACCTCAGCCACCAAGAAAAACAACTAAACAATTAATTTAAAATAATAAATAATGAATAAACAATAAATCCTTAACTAAACAATGAATAAACTAAATAGTAGTCACAACTTTCAATACACACGCAAATAGCAATAAATAATTTAAAATAAAAACTAAAAAAAAAAACAATGAAAATTAATTAATTAAAAACTTTTAAATGTAATTTATATTACCTCCTTAGCAAAAATCAATAACAAATCAAATAATAATCACATAAAGATAATATAAACAAACAAAGATAAAAAACATATGCAAATTGATAAACATTTAAAAGCGAAGACAGTTTTTGTTTAGTCTTATTTAACTTTAAATATGCATAAATGAAATTTGGAATTTGTTTTATGTTTCATGTTTTATGTTTCGTTCAAATGAAAAACTAAATATTTGCACGCTGCCCAAAATTTTTGCATATAACATTATAGTAAACTATATTTATATGGCTTCTACGATATCTTCAATATATAAACATTTCGTGCCCCCACATAAAAATCATATATATTCATATATATCTATATATATATATATATTTCAACAAATTGCTTAAAACTTCAGCCAAAATTTTTAAACAAAAATCACACACAATTTTTGATAGCTCCCCAAACGAACGCTTTTTAGTGGACTTTCAAGTAGCATCCATGAGCTCTCTCAGATCATCTGATGACGAAATGTACAAATTGGTCGAAATTTTTGGCAATTTGTGGCGAGGGGGTGCCCAGTCTCCAATAAGTAACTGTATTTCAAAGCGTAGCAAATATTTGTTTTCTCTCTTTTTTTTTAAATTTTATTTTAAATATAATTACTTATCTTTCACCCTCACACACAAATATATATATAATATATTTTCATTTGTAAATCAATTTTTAGTTTTTTTTTCGGTATATCTATCGCCCCCCACCCACTCTCTTATTTCTATTCGTATGCAAAATTTTTAGCACACTTTTTTTGGTTTAAGCATTATTTGTTTAATGTGTAATATAATACTTTGTACCTTTTTCACTTATGTTAAAAAGAAGCAAGTCCCAGTGTGTTTGATACCCTGAAATTGCTTGTACGAATGCGAAAGGGCAGCAGAAGGCATGGCCGAAGCCATAAAGTATAGCTGAACGATGTGCTCAGTCTATATATAGTTATGTTCTGTCTATCCGAATGTCTAACTGTCTGTCCGTTTCATATATTAATATGGATAATATCGATAAATAAAACGATCATAAAAATTGTTCCGATCTTAAAGCTTGCCTTGTTCTAATAATTTCCCCATTCCCAACTAAAATGTATGGCAGCTTTGCGCACAGTTCAGGGTATTGTCTAGTCGGACACTCCCGACTATAGCACTCACTCTTTTACTTGTTTTAATTTTGTG